GCCACGGCGGCGGCAACAGAGGGACGCAAACAACAGCCTCACCTCCCGTGCCCTCCAGATGCCAAAGGAGCGCCTAGCAGCGTTTTGTTGCTGCTTGGCGCAGGGCTTTGGGCATCATTTGGTCTGCCGTTGCCTCTAAACGCGGTCTCGCGGGTCGGAAAGCTGACTTTTCGGGTTTCGGGATGATTGACAGGTTAATCGTCACGAGGCTGGCAGTTTTGGCAGAAGATGCTGGTTTGCAGACACTGAGGTTTGAGCAGGCAGGTGGCCTGTTAGGACTTCCTATAGCTTATTTTTACATGAGGCTCCCTAGTGGCATTACACAGGGGTGTCTGTACGGAGCTGCAAATGTTCTTGCCATTCGTCCAGTTCTCTGCAAAAAGAAGGTTCTGTGACTGCAGGGGAAAAAACCCAAAGAAAACAAAACCAAAACGGGGAGCAACTGGGGCAGCTTAAAATTTAAACAGCAGGTTTTATTAATAACTGCAGAATGGTTTGGATTGGAAAGGACCTTAAGATCATCTAGTTCCAACCCCCTGCCATGGGCAGGGACACCACACACTAGACCAGGTTGCTAAAAGCACCATTCAACCTGGGCTTGAGCACCACCGTGCATGGAGCATCCACAACTTCTTTGGGCAACCTGTGCCAGTGCCCCACCACCTTCACAGTAAAGAACTTCCTTATATCCTAAACCTCCCCTGTTTAAGTTTGAACCTGTTATCTCTTGTCTTATCACTACAGTCCCAGTTGAAGAGTCCAGGATCCTCGTAGTACCTCTTCAGGTACTGGAAGGCTCCTATGAGGTCTCCACACAGCCTTCTTTTGTCCAGGTTGAAGAGTCCAGGATCCTCGTAGTACCTCTTCAGGTACTGGAAGGCTCCTATGAGGTCTCCACACAGCCTTCTTTTGTCCAGACTGAACAGTCCCAATTTTCTCAGCCTGTCTTCATATGGGAGGTGCTTCAGCCCTCGTGACCCTCCTCTGTACTTGCTCCAGCAGCTCCACGTCCTTCTTATGTTGGGGACACCAGAACCAGAATAAGAAGATTAGGAACAAATCAACATAACAGAGCTGAAAGATAGAGAAGCGATTCCCCCGTCTCCTCCCTGCAACATTCACCTCATCTTTTCTCCAAAGTATGTTTTGAGATTTCATCGTTCCTCAGTCTGATGGAAACTAACGTTCATTGTCTTGCTCTTGAAGAGAATAATATTGCTGCCCAGGAGTTGTGAAGAAACTGAACCCTCTGAAATTTTAAGCTGTATTAAATCTTCTCTGCTTTCTGAGGGCCAGGATATACTGTTTACAGGCAGTCTGATTGCCTGGCAGTCAAAACATTTCCTTCTTAAACATTTCCCTTGCCACCACTATAGTAAGAAAATAGCTGTTTATAAAGCTGTGCTTGCAACAAAATCCAATGTTGTTTGATAAGATCAGGTATACTGGTTGTGCATTTGGGGAATATTCAGCAAATAATGTCACTTCATATGATACACATTCTATTATCCTGTATTTATTATATTTCTAAGAGGAAGTGATTGTTGCAGTCACTTTTCTTCCATTAATAAGCATCACAAATTGGTATTTTTTTCCTGGTGTTTAGAGGTTTTTCTCTTCCTTTCTATTTCTCTCTCACCTTTCTATATATGCAGTTAGCATACCAATGTTTAAATATACATTATGATGTACACTTACATAACCCTGTCTTGCAAAGCACTGGAAAAATGATCCCTGGCTTTATCTTCTGACTGTTTTTTTAAAAGCAACAGTTCTTGTGTGTAATCTAGCACTATCAAAAGACAGAGGGAGGCATGCTGCAGCTACATAAGGATCATTTTACACAGATCAGAACAAAGGTAATGCAAGTTATATCCCAACAAATATCATATGTTACATTTTTTCTAGCCGGCAAGTCTTAAATCCAGGATGTGTAAATGTGTTCGTTAACGAGTGGATACTGAGTGGATATAATGAGTTGGTGATGCAGTCAGTGACTGCTCATTATCATCAGAGAACATAACTTGCTGCAGCAACCTAGAAAATAAATGAATGTAGCTCAGACTGGACTGTGCTGTGAGCAAAACGAGAACTTTTCCTATGTGAAGCTTTAGCAGTTTTGGGGGTTTACGACTTCATATTAGCCATTCTGAGCTGTATGTAGGATCCTTTTACCATCCATCACTAATCCATCCAAGGAAGGAAAGTTAAGGAAGTGCTCCCAGACCCTGCCTCACATGAGCAGAAGTAATGCCCAAACAAGCAGAATCAAAGGTCTTGACAACAGGATATTAACAGCATGCTCCCTCTCAAATGACTATTCTTCCAAGCTGTAATGAGAGAATATTAGGATTCCAGCTATCATCTAACAGGCATTGCAGGAGATAAAGGAGCTCAAAAGGTGCAGAAAGCTCTAAATACAACTTAAGCAGGTCAGATTGCTTATGAATGAGAGCAAGTCAGGAGTCCTGCTTAGCTCTGCCAGTGGTTAGCTATGGTGTTATACTGGTCAAATGAAAACATATTGTTCAGATACCACTTATGGAAAGAACAGAATGAAAATCTTTACAATTCAGTAGTTTTTGCAGGGCTTCATTCCTTCTGTATCTGTGCTCTCAGAACTGTGGGTTAGTAGATGCTGCAGAAGCACAGCACATAAATAATAACAATGAGATCTGGTTTATTTTGAGGTTGGTAGAAAACCAGTGATCCGACAGTTCAGGGTATAAATACGGTAGAAGAAGTTTGTGTGTTTGCACTTCAAACCAGAGGTTCTTTATCTTTACAATATACAATTAAAGATTAAACTGATTAATTTTGTCCCTCCCTGATGCAGAGTTTTAGAATCCGGTTGGGTTTGCTCGTACTTTGCTGCCATGGCACAACTTTTGCATAGTGTAAGAACTCAGAGATGTATGTAATGAAACTTTAAAACTGTTTCGAGTTTTGGAAATGTCCACCTGTTTTAAAAAAAAAAAAAAAAAAAAAAGCCAACCTACAGAGATTTTTAAAAATAGACCAAGTCCTCCTGGAATTCAATTACAAATGCCTGCCAGCTGCTTCCCCTGCCTGGGACCCGCATTTCTAGCTTCTCTGTTCCTCTGGATGTTCCTTGCAGGGGAACAGCCCATGTGACATGACTGACGAGCAGACAGATTGGAGAGAGAGGTACTCGGATATGGACTCCCCTGCCATCCCTCCATCCCACCTGCTGCTTGGGCTGTCCTTTCATAGTCACGATTTGAGCTGTGCGATTGTTGTACAATGTGGATACCGGCTGTGCAGCTACTGCTGGGACTAGCACTTTATTCTCATGCTATGTGCAATGACTTTTTGAAAAGCTTTTTATTTAGGCCCTGTAGCACTGCATCTTACAAAAAACATTATAAGAATCCCATCTTCTTGGATCTGTATTCTGGCTGAGTTCACAGGCACACATTACATCCCCCATTTGCTAAAACACTGAAGTGCAGACCCTGAGCAAAACTGCAGGCTTCATTTCCCCTGAAAATATATGCAGATTGTAATGTATTTGCCCATAAATGCATATGCTGGATTCTCCCATAAAATGGACCTTGTCCTTAAGAAATTGTTCCAAAACTTGTAGTGCAGGGTCATGGGGGAAAAAAAAAAAAATAATTAAAAAAATCAGCGTTTACTTATTAAATTACATGTACTGTCTTTTTTGTGTATCATCCTTTTTGGTCTGGGCACAGATGATTCAGCTGTCCGGTTCCAGGAGAACATTTTCCAGCAATGTCGTTTGGATGTAATCCTCTTTCCGGTATTGTCCTGTTTTACCCCCATCGGCTTTCTGAGCATGTGTGCCCATCTGTGTGTGGCAGTGGCAGGAGCTTTCCATCCAGTCTAGCTGTCTGCAGGATCTCACTGGTTCTGTGCTGCCTTACTCTCTTGGGTATCGTTTTACTCTTTGATTGGGAAGAATATGGTTTGAGGGTTTGTGGCAGAAATTCATTTACTAATTCATAGGGGAGGGAGGTGGGGGAGGGGAGGAGAAGGAAGGAAAATAACTCTTTGGTACAGAACAACAATCCTCCAAGGACATAGTTACAGCATTTCTTGTTAAAGTGCGACGTGTTTGTTTTCAAATCATGTAGAAAATGCAGAGATTCTGTGGCTTAGGCTATTGCCTACTTAACACACAGCTATGATGCTGGGGCAGATACATCTGTTACGGGCTGAGCAGTTCCCTGCTCGATGTCTGGTCCCACTGATTTCAGGAGAAAATAAATGCTCATTCACAGGTCTTCACATGATAAGACATGGCTGCCTCACAGCTGGAGACATGATGTTAAATGATGTGTTTGATTTGAGATTTCTCAGTGATTTTTAATTTTGGTGCAGGGATCCCAGCAGAACTGCATTTAATTAAGGGTCTGATACATAGCTCTTAGATTAAACTATGGGATATGGCTGCTTACAGTGTGCAGTGCTGCTGTGGATTAGGGATGTCTAGGCTACCTCCAAATAAACTCAACTGATTTCACTAGCAGCATTGTGCAGCTTCCCTTTTCTGGTTCTCTCGTTTTGTGTTTTCTGAGGTTCCTCTCCGTAGTGTTAACATGGATGCACCCACAGGCTCTCGTGAACTGAGCTCAGATTTGGTGTTAAAATCAAGCAGTTGTTTGCTGTTAGATATGTAAGGGCTTGGGGTTTTTTTTCTTCATAAGATTTTAAGTTGGGTTAAAGGTCGATGCTTCCAAATTTTGTTTTTAAAGGAGCCTGATACATGTGTGATAAACGTGATGAAGCTGATGTCTGAGAAGCAGAAGTGCACATAGCAAGTCACTGGAGCTGACAGATTTCAAAGGGCTGTAGCTGGTTGTGTAAGCCACTAGCTTGGATGGTTTGATATAATGCTGTTTCCAGACAGTGTGGGGATTGCATGTGCCAGTGCTATGTGTTGCCAGACAGAAACCACAGCAATTCACCCTCAACATAATTACCACCTACAGCAAGGCTAGCAGCTTTTAAATGAGGAGGAGTGGGATTCTTTCTCTAGGAAAACATCAAGGAGCTTATGCCTTGCTGTAAATCTACCTAATCTCTTCATTAGAAGGGCAAGGACAGCAGCAAACCTCAGCCAACATTGCACATACTGAAATATTTTTAAAATAATCTCTTTGATCTTGAAGTGTAGTAACACAGGCAGAATCCAGAAAAATCAGGTGGTGCCTCTTAGAACTTGTATAGTGTTAGTGATGGTTTTCGACGTGTGGCATAGCTTCTGTTACATGTGAGGCTTTAATGTGCATTTTCAAAACTTCATTTCCCTCTATGTGGATGCTAAGATTAATATTATTATAATTATAGCTGTAGCCACTTGCAGGCTTCTTTTGTATTGTTGTTTACTTAAAATGCCCAGGAATATTGTTAGAGGTGAAAATACCAAGTTAAAACTTTATGTTTAATTCTTTGCTTCCTTTTCCTGCCTACATTACTAATTCTTGACATTTATATATGAAGAATCAAATTGATTTATGACTATTGAGATTGCTTGGGTGTGGATTGGAGTGGTGGTGGTGGTGATTCCTTCATGGAGTGCAGACATGCAGAAATAGATACTTGGGATTTGATTGTTTTGCTGTGCTGATAGGAGCAACCAATCAGGGAAAGGTAATGTGGCATCTTTTGCACCTGATCCAAATCCCATTAAAGCCAGTGAAGAGAATTCTAATGATATTAGAGCCATGATGGGATCACTGCAGCCATAGTACCCTTGCTGCTAGCATTGCCTGCACAGAGTTCACTGTGGGATAACATCTGGGTTCCTCTCCTTTGTGTTAACTGAGCAGCATAAAAGGATCAGTCATAACAAGTAGGAAGTTTTCCATTCCGGCTCACCAAG